CTCCCTTTCTTTAACGGAGACTCTGTACGGCGATCGATGCACAGGGCGCGCGTCGTCCTCGGTAACGATGCGGTGTTTCGCAATGGTGGTTTGGCGCACCCTCGACGACGTCGCGAAGCAGTCACTGTATTCGGCGAGAAGGTCACTTAGCTGCCGTCGTTTCGGGCCTGGAAGCTTGGGGTCAATGTCGAGCTGCGCTGGCGCCGTAATGTGTTGCTGAGGCGGCGAGGATTCGTCAGTAATCGCGGTGATTTCGGCGGGGTTTCGGAGTTCCTTGACGTGGCCCACGGCTGCACCTTTCGTGAGGTGTTGTGTTTCGTTTCGGAAGTTCGTCACGAGGGCCACAGTCCGCCCATTTTGAAGTTCAGCCACTCCTCTTGCGACGCCTATTCCTCTTTCTAGGAGTAATTGAAGCTTGCCTTCAAGAACAACTTCGCCGCAGGTAGCTACATCGGCCACTACGGGTACGACAATTTTTGATCGCGGCGGCAGGTTCACGTGGTTGGCAGCGACTCGGACGGCGGCTGACGCTGTTTGAGGTTTCTCTGAAGACGGAACAGGCTTGCGCAGCGTCAATCTGTTCTCACCAAGGTCGATGACGGCGCCGTATTCACACAGAAAGTCCATGCCGAGAATAACGTCTCTGGAACAGTCTTGTAGAACAATGAACTTCTCAGGGCACGTTTCACCGCGGATTTCGACGCGAGCAGTGCATCTCCCGATGGGTGTGATGAGGTGCCCTCCGGCGGTTCGTATTTGAGGTCCGTCCCACGGCGTCGTGACTTTTCGAAGGCGGCGGGAGAGCCTCCCACTCAAGACTGAGTAGTCTGCTCCGGTGTCCACGAGTGCAGATGCGTCGTGGCCGTCGATGACGACGTTTAGGTTATTGGACACCACTGCAGCGGCGTCGTTTTGGTCTCTGGTAGCGTTCGAGTGGGGGTCCCCCGACGTTCGTGGAGGATCTTGGCGTCGGTCGTCTTCGGCAACTCCACCTCCAGGGGTTGCCGCGCCTAGTTTCCCCGGCGAGGAGCAAGGGGGGACAGGCTTTCACGTCGTGGTCGGTGCATCGGCGAAGCTGGACGTCGCGGTGACGGCGACCGGAACTCTCGGCGGGACGCAGGCTCGGGGGACTGAGGTCGTCGCAGGTACTCGTCGATCTCGATAGGGCGTTCACAATGACGGGGGCGCGGGTCGTTCGGGTGGAACCCTCGTAGCCCGAGTCGTCGGTATGGGCATCGGCGGTAGGTGTGGTCCGCTTCCCCGCAATGAAAGCACAGAGGGCGTCGGTCGGGCGTTCGCCACACGTCGGTCTTGCGGGGTGCGTGAGGCTCCGGGCAGGCGTACTGGACCTGGTCATTGTGGCGTCGGTCGTGCTGCGGCGCAGGAGACTGACGTCGGGGCGGCGTGACATAGGTGCGACGAGGAGGCGGTGGCCGTCGGGCCACTGCGGCGTAACTCAACGTCGGTGGTTCCGGAGCGGTGCTGACGAGAACCTCAGGCTGCAGCGCTTGCTGGACTTCTTCCCTGACAATCTCGGCGATTGAGGGCGAAGCTGGGCTTGCGGCGGCAGGTAGAAGTTTCTTGATCTCTTCCCGGACGACGTCTCGGATCATCTCGCGGATGTCCGTGGTGTTGCAGCCGGAAGGCGAAAAGGAACCGACGCCGGGAACTCGGTGATAGTGGGTGGCTCGTGCTAGAAGGGCACGTTTGATGTTGGTGGCCTCCGTCATGAAGCCTTCGACGGTGGTAGGCGGGCTCCGCACAAGACCACCGAAAATGCTTTCCTTGACGCCACGCATCAAGACTCTGAGCTTCTTTGCTTCGGATGCTTCGGGATCGGCGCGGTTGCTCAGTCGCAGGACATCTTCCACGAAGCTAACGATGCTCTCGTTAGGGCCTTGAATCCTCGCTTGAAGGACTTCCGCGCGTTCTCTTCGGTGTTGGCTCATGAACGTTCTTCGCAACTCAGCCTTGAGTTGCTCCCAGGAAGTGATCGAAGCTTCGTGGTTCTCGAACCAGTTCCGGGCGGTGGCTTCCAAGGCGAAGTAAGCGTTTTGCAGACACTGTTCCGGTGTCCATCCGTTATGACGGGCCACTCGTTCGTACTGTTGGACCCAGTCGTCGATGTCTTCGTGGCTTTCGCCGTGGAAGGGAGCCGGTGTCCGAGGAGCGACGGGTAGGTAGACGACGGCAGGAGCGGTGCGGGCCTGCGACTGGTTGTCCATTGTCGTCTTCTTCGGCTTGGGTTTGTCCAGCAGCAAACCATACTCCGGATCCTCTCCCTTGGTGCGGCGGCTGGTCCGAGTTTCAGGTTCCGCGCTGAGTGGTCTTCTCAGCGAGCTTGGAGTCGGGCTTGCACTGCGGGTCCTGGGAGGGGAACGCTGCACGGGCATGCGGTACCCCGCACCTCCACCAAAATGTCACGGGTGGTGGCCAATAAACAATAATAAACAGAAAGAAATAAACGTTTAATGTCGCGAACTTGTGCCAAAAATAAAAGGGTACAAAAGATAATAACGGAGCGTCGCGGGCGTCGGGGTCGGCGTAGCAGCAGAGTCGAACGCTGGGCGAAAACTGACTCGACAAGGTCGCGGGCGGCCTCTTATCTAGAGTGAGTCACTATCTCGAAGATTCGGCGGGGAAGGTTCGAGCGTAGTGCGCTTGGGGCGAGAATGAGCACGCACTTTCTAGAACAATAAAAGCAGGCATAAACGATAGAAGTTATGTTTGTAGCAAGAATAAACGAGAAGCTTCTGCAAGTCTGCGCGCGGCAATATAGTGTGAGTTACGCACACAATGTTTGTACTCGCTGCTAGGAAACAGAGACCTTCTAGAAGATGCCCGCGCCTGGTACATCGTTCTCTTCTCCATCGATCCCAATTTGAGGCAGGTTTGAGCGTGATAAGCCGTTTTTTTCAAGATGGAACGTTTTGTGAAGATGTGAGTCATCCTTACATATTCAAGTCACCACTTCTCGCGCATGTGTTTTGAGCTCCTTGATCAACCGAAAATATCTATGAAACGTTCCTTCAATGGGTGCGGGGATGCATCGCAGCTCTCAAGTATGCGTTTACTTTGCCACGGGCTAAACTAAAGACCTTCGACAGCGGAAATTCGGTGACTGCGCGGGCGCAGCCTTGCAGCTCCGTAAAACCTACACCCGAGGGGCTAGGCTTGGTGAGCGCCAAAAAATGGGGCAGATTACGCGATAGGAGCTGAAGCTACCTCTAAGTCACGAGGTCGCTGCTGCCGCACCGATCGCCCGTCGCTCAGAATGGGGATTTTCTCGGCTTATCCTCTCAGAAGAAGCCGGCGCAAAAGGAGACCTTTCCCCTCGCCTCGCCGTGCTACAATAAAAGAAGAAAGAGGGCGAGAAGGACTTTCCGCCAGGCGGAAGAATATTTCTGCTGGTCCTCCTTTAATGGTTTTCGGTTTCGGTTACGGTTACGGTTTGAGTCCCTGGTCTTTCTGAAAACATTGCAGTCTAAATTCTCTCTTGTACGGCTTTTTTTTTTCTTCTTTTTATCAATATGTAGCAGTATCAAATACATAAACTATGCATGTTGAGCTTTCTAAGTGAAGGATTGCGTTTACTTGAAAATTTTGAGTACCAACTAGTGATGGACCGAATCTGCCCAACTTCAGATTCGGCAAAGTTTGGCAAATTCCGAACTTTTGCAGGAAAATTCGGCAAAAATTCGGCAAATGTCTGCGCATGCGCGAGAACGCGACGGAGCCTTGGATTGCAGAAGGGCGCCGTGCAGTCGTGCGGTTACCATCGTGCAGTGTAGTACAACCAGCGGTTACGGCGTGGTGTAAGGTAGGCAACACGGTAACTGTGCATTTGTGAGCGAGTGTGGTTCTTTTCATTATTTTCTGCCTCAAGATTAGAAGATTGACCAGTAACTTACGCAGTCCACTGCGCAAGTGACAAATGATGCGGTGCATTCTGAGACATTGAGACATTGGCCAACAATTACATTAAAGCACTCCTGGCAATTATAACAATTCTGTTTTCGGCTCAGGAGTAGTGTGTTCCAAAACAAAATAATATTGCTCTTTCAATTAGCGTTATTTCGCGATTTTCATGTATCTGCAGAAAACTAAACACAGGACTATAATGCTCGACGTTGCACATCCGACATTCACTCTCCCTATCTTCCGAAAGGTTTGTGTGTGTATAACACCAGAAACAGGCATTTTAAAGGTTAAAAACGAGACGTTGCGAATATGGGACGCACACTTTCATGCAAAGCTGACGTCAAGTGACTCAAATCGAAGAACATGCATATTTACAATATTATTATTCTCTTTTCTGGTGGAGGCTCAGCAACCGTTGCATTAGTTTTCGCGCACAAAACGGTGACTCCCAGAGAAAGCAAGAACGCAGCGTTATTGCCTTCATTTTAACAATGTACACGCTTATGAAGGCTTGCGCTGATGATGCCTCAAAACCGACACTCTCGTAGCGTGATTCGTAACTGCGCCACGCTCGCTTCTGCCCAACCTCGTTGTCATGCCACTTCTGCAAGGAGTCACTAAAATTGCCAGTGAACACACGACACTGATAAAATTATCTTGCAGAATATCACCTTATTTAGTAAACATGTTGCATTTAAGTTAAGAAAAAACGAAACATAAAACCTTTTTTCGCCAGGAAAAAACATAATATCAACGAGTTTGGTAACAACATATTTTTGCCGAATCTTTGCAGAATCTTTAGAAAAGGTTGGCAAAAGTTTGGCTTTGCCGAATCCCAGGATTCGGCACCGAACTTTCGATTCGGCAAAAGGTCGGCCCATCACTAGTACCAACAGGGTGTAATCGGTGTTTCTGTGGACATTTTTTAATTTTTTTTTAAAAAGCGGAAATCAGATATTTATTTTGTCAAGTTAGCACTCGGATATACTAAGCAGAGTGTGTTCCCAGGAGAGCATGGAAAATATACTGTGCTTCGAAGTAGTTGTTTTTACCACCTGCTTCTTTGTTATACGTTCCAGGCCATTGCAACCGTCCACGAGGAATTTGCCCAGGAAGGCCAGACTGAAGTACGATTTCCGTCAGATTTTCTTTCAACATTATAGGGTTAAAAGGTGCACGCACGCTTGTAACCTGCTTCTTTTTGTTGCCAGGCACCGAGCGCAGATCAAAAGGTGAACCTGCACTTCATTTGCCTCGCCAAAGTGGACGGCTGCATTTACGACCTGGGTGAGTGTCCTTGCCCTTCCCACTGCGTCAGAACAGCTCTAGGGGCTGCTGAAGGATGACTTCTTCAGAACTTGGTTGCTGTCAGTTAAAGCAGGGATCGCTTTAAAGTGATAAACACCCATAGCAATCTCCAAATGTTTGCAACAATTAAAATCTGCTTAGCATTCTTGCCAGGTAAAGGCTTTCTATGTCTTCGGGGGCTCTTGGTATCGACAGACCCTTTCCACCATACCTAGAAGGTGAATCGGGCTTCTTGGCCTCCTTTCATTGCACTGCACCGTCGCGTGCACAGTGCCCAAAGTTGCAGTTGCTGTCCTCTGGCCGTCTTCTCAGTCTTGATGGTTTCTTAGTTGTGTTGATTGCGTCCTTTGTGATGGCGTCCTTTAAATGTGGCAACTTGTGCGAGTAAAGCACGACTCCTAAAGACTGGTCGGATCATTTGTGTTTGACTTTGACCGACTGCATTTGGCGGCTTGTAACCGCTTGCGATGAGACAGTGCTCTGCCGCCATCTACCAGATAGCCCTGGAACAAGTCCAATCTGCTAGATTAACTAGACGGAAGGTTTCAAAGTACTTGTGGGATGGAATCTATCTATGCACTATGTATTAACTCGTCACTTATGACATTGTCATAATTATTTGAAGCCCACAGTGAAAGAATGATTGATAAAGCATTTCATAAATAAATATGACGCACGCTCGTCTTTGACTGGTCGTTTTAGCCATTTTCTTTGTCTGGCAGACGGACGCAAACCGTTCCCCATCAACTGTGGCCCCACGTCCGACGAGACCTTCCTGCTGGTGAGTCGAGACTGCCTTGTTTCTTGAGTGCACCATTCCAGCCTTCTAAGGACTTCGTGGTGGCCAGTCTGGTTCCCTTCCATTCCACCAGCTAGAAGACGCCGTCTTGCATGTTTTCTGTGCCAAGTGTATGTTGCTGCGAAGCAGACATGACAGAAGAGGGCATTATACACAAACTCAGCTCTGTTACGTCACGGCCCGGTGGTGGCGCGTCGGGCGCACTTCGGTATGGGGCTGTGGGCGGAAATCACCATGTGGGACATGCTTTCCTGTGTTGTTTTGGAAGGAACCAGACAAAAACTTACCTTCTCGTCAAAACGCTATGGCTGGGGCTGTACCATAAGAGTCCGGAAAGATTTGAAGGTCAGTTTTCGTGTGTTTTTTGCCTGCTCGGTTTGTCTGAGAATGCGAACAGGGGCGGTGAAAAAAAAACAACCGGACGCCGTCAGACCACGATTGGTTGTGCGGGAAGCACTTTGAGTTGAATTCACGGATACTTGTGGTTGTCAGATTTATTTTTGTTACAACATGAACACGGGAGACCATCAAGTTATATGGAAGACCTGCGGACTGCGTTCAGTGCGTCTTCAAGTTCAAGCGGCTGGCTGATCATTCGAACTGCCGTCTGCTCTTTCAAATGTTTCTGCTTGTCGTCGGCTCTTTCAGACGACAGCAGCCCATAGACCAAACGTTGGCCCGGTAATTGCTATAAGAAGTAAGTGCAGGCCTCAAAAGACTTTTAAGTTTGAAGGTTGGTTGGGGTAAGCAAGCTCGGTGTAAACAGTAGATACAAGGAGATGTTGATCATTGTTACCAGTGGCCATCACCGACTTGTTATGCCTGATTCACTTGGTCCGATTCTGCTTGCAATTTTCAATATTGACGTCGACCATCTCAGCTGTGGTTCACGCTTCTGCAGCCTGACCAACGTCGCGGCAGAAAATTGCTAACAGAATCTCAACATGCGATTCACACTTCAGCGTCCATTCTGCGGCGACCATGCAGAATGAATCGCCGCATGTCACATTATTCACGCAAAGTTTTGTGGTGTAACAAGCCTCAGTAATTTTGCTGAGGCCACTAAAGTAGTGGGTTATTGCCAGGAAGACGTAGAATCAACAAAAATGCGAAAAAGACCACGGGGACATACACTGACGTCGTCAACATCGCATTCTAATGGTTTGTTTATGGGCGACTGCGAGCTTCTTGCCCACACTCCCTCGCGCATGCGCGGCGCTAGTGGCGTCTGCTAGGGGCTCTCTGGTTTGTTTGTAAACATGAGTTGTTCAATGAATAGTCAGTGATAAAGAGATTGAAAGAAGGCCAAAGGTACGGGAAGATTCCGTAGACTCTCCTCAATCTTCTCCCCGATGTTGGGGCACGCGCAAAGCGCACAGTTCGGAAATGATAGGAAACGATAGATTACAAGACGACGGTGATGGCGCCAGTGTACAGTGGTGCCATCTACCTTGTAATTCTGCTTGTTGCCACGTCTGCTGGCGCCATCTACCGTGTGATTTTCAAAGCTGCCTCGTCGTAGTTTCTAGAATGGCCACCAGATGTCGCTAGTCGTCTGGAGGGCTCTCAGGGAGCCTAGATTGAAGAGTCTTTAGACCGTGGGGAGCGTTTGTATTTTAATGGCGGACGCCTCCTGCGGATATCGGTCACAAATGCGCATGCACTGCGTTTTCGCGTGGCGAGGAGGAAGGCAGGCGGAGACGGCTTGCAGACGGTCGACGCTTTCGACACCTCCTGGCAGGTCGTATTGCAAACGCGACCCATAAATCACGTGACAACGCGATCGAGCAGTTGGAAACTCTCTTTAATGCAGGCTCTCTAGAGCTCCGAGGTCCTTTCGGTTTCACGTGAATAAAAGCTTATTCAATTATTAGGGTGATCAGACGTCCCGCTTTAGCGGTCCCGTCATTTTTTTTTTTTCTCTCAATGAAGCTTTACGTCAAATTTGGGGGTTTTACGTGCCAAGCCAACGAGGGGCATCTGGCACGCCCCAGCTGGGGACTGAGGATTAATTTGGACCACCTGGGGATCTTTTGACGTGCAACCAAAACCTCGGTTACACGGCCTCCGTCAGATTGCGGGCACGTCGGCCGGGATTCGAACCCGCCACATGGGGTTCCGTAGGCCAGCGCTCTCGCCTCGGAGCCACCGAGGCGGCTAATGAAGCTTTACGTGTTGTTTTTGTGGGAACATGCGCGCATAGTTGCGAAATGAGCGCATAGTTGCGAAATGAGCGCTAACTGAGTTGAAGAAATCTAAAGAAATACATCATGCATTTTATAGGAATAAACATACTATACAAATATTTCTTCCTCATCCCCCGCCAGATTAGATGGCTCTAATGACTCTCGTCGAGCTGTCTGGGCTTGCTTTTTTTTCTTATTTTTTTTCTCTAAACCGTATTCTACCACTACTGTTCGGAGTCGCGTTCCGTTTCAGGGGTGGAACGGCTGCGCCATTTGCGCCATTTTGCGCCAGACGCATTTGTCTGCGCCATCCTGCGCCATTTCACGGAAACTGCGCCACAGCCAATACCTTGCGCCATTATGCACCAAATCGCACAACGTGCGCCAAAAAAAAAAGAAAAAGTATTTTGTCTTGGTTTCGGTTCCTATCGACTCGATTGGCAACAATTAGCCCGTTTAGCTTGTTCGGCCTTGCAATCCTTTGTTCTGTTTATTCTTCCTGTGTATCCCGAGTCGGAAGCGCGCGAAAAAACTCGGGGATCGGATTCGAATCGCTACACCTGCGACTGGTCTGTTATTCTTCAACCATAAGCTGTTAAGCAAGTCGGCCGAGGTGAGGTCGAGTCGTTAAGCGTCAGATTGCCTGAGGCTCTGCAGCCCGGGATCCGGACGTCAGCCAATTGAAAACAAATGAGCAAAATACTCCTTTTAGTACTTCATCGTTAGAAGTTGAAACCGCATTCCCGCAAGATAATTGCGATTTGATAGAACTGAAACTCGGTCCGATCCGAAACCTTGCCTGCCAGCTGCTGTCACGCGAGCGGTAGATCTGCTCGGCGTAGTTTAACCTTGCTCCCGCTAATCGCTTTGAATACGATAACTCCGTTAATTGTAGTCTGCTGCTTCGATATTGAGTTGCACAATAGGATAAACTCGAAATGTGTTGCCCTGTTCCCCCACGCAACTGCACGTCCGTTGCTTATACACATCAAGAGGTTCGCACATATAATTACTATGTCGAGCATGTGTGGGTTGTGCGATAAGCAGTGTTGATTTACATTTTGAGCAGCTGGAAGCCACTCAGAAAATATCAAGGACACTATCTTCAGAAACATATGATACTTGCTTTTTGGTTAGCATTAAGGCTCACAAAGTTTCAAGTTTTCACATCTGTTACACTGTTATCCCATTACCTAGGTCCCTAACCACTCATGTTCATCTGTGCTGCTAAGCACAATTGAAATTGCTCCCGTGCTCGTCTAAGACACAAGCTGAAGTGCAATGAAAACTGATCTGAGCTGCTCCTAGCCGGCTCCAGAATGTAGTTTTAGCTGCTCCCAACCTGCTCCAAAACAGCGGTTTCAGCTGCTCCCGTGGCTGCTCCCAAGTACATTTCATGAGTTCCACCCCTGCGTTTCTTCCAGTTCATAGATGGCATTGGTTAACTTGGGAACATGTCACTCTGGCTCTCCTGCAACGCACGTGTTTTTCCTTATAATTTTTCAACCTTTTTGTTCAGTACAGGCTGTCAATCCGACTCGATGATATTAGGAATAACTTGTCCCGGGTAGTCTCCAAACGCCGCGCCATGCGTTAACATCCATCGTGCTCTTATACGCGCGTTTTCACCTTAGAAATAATGGAAACAGCGCGCAAACGACAAGGACGGGAGGAAAAGGAGTACACAGGACGAGCGCTCTTATACGAGCGTTTTCACCGCCAGCCTTGATGAGAACCTGTTGCACGAGTGATAACTTTAGCGCAGCACCGCGCTTCCCACGCGCTCCGGATCTTTCTAGAATTTGATGATTTGATGACTTTCGATGACGCTCAGCAACTTCCTACGCTTTGTTTGGCCTCACGATGGACCGCGGAAGACGCTATAAGCCTTCGAGACCAGTCCAATGACGTGCGACTACTCGTGTCGTGTGTCCTGTAGGAAAAACGCAGCGGCGCGCCGAGAGCCGTCCTCTGCAGTTCATCGTGAGATGAAAGAGAGCATAATTGGAACCGTATGTTCCACATACTATACGGAACCATACAAGCCCTGATCGTAGAATGGCTTTTCTTTTTTCTGTAAAGTTTAGAAAAAAACACCCTTGGGGGGGGGGGGGGGGGGGGGGGGGGGACACTACCTTGAATGGCCCCTTTTTTCCAAAACATGCATATTCAGAACTGCAGAGTTTTGGCATGTATGGATAACAAGGAACACTCTCACAAAGTCTTGTCAATGTGCACTGACAATGTCAAAAATAATTATTCTTTATATGATGGTGAGGAGTGCTGCACTGCGTAGCAATCGTCATCCACGAGTGTAAATAGCTGAAAGCAAGGACAGTATATCACAAGACGTTTGAGGAAGACATCACCTACACTGCTGGAAAGAATTTCTGGCATTTAAGACGCAAAAATAAAATTTTTAAAACGTCATCTTGAAACTTCAAGTGCATTTATGCCAGCTTCACTTTTTGGCCGCAAATCCCACCTAATAAAACCATAGTTTTCAGTATGAAACTACCGAGAGACTTTATATTTGCGGATTGTATGCCGAAGTTTTATAGAGCCGATTACTATGAGCTTAGATTTTGCATTTTCATTTTCCTTTATTATGAAGATTTGTAATTTGCAAAACTTGGCATATGGAAAAAAAAATGCATAAACTTTTTTTTACCTGAAAAATGCATATTTTCTGAAATTTCTTTCCATAGTAACTGGCAACGAATATTCCAGTATGGCATTCCAACAGAAAAATATCTGGTGATCAACACCATTTCTCAACGATAGATTCATTGAGCAGATTACATGCAAATCTATGCTTTACTT